GCTCGAGGAGGGTCACGCTGCCAAGCAGTCCTGAATGGAGCAGGGCTGGGGCTGTTGGTGGAAGCTGGTCTCTGGGGAATGCTGGCAGGCCCAGGCGTGGGTGCACCCCAACCCTCTGCTGGCGGTGGTAGCACGGGTCCCTGCCGCTTACTTATCACTGGCTCATGTGTGAGATCTTTGGCTTCTGCTGGGCACCGTCCCAGTGAACCCACCCAGGTGAAAAGCCCTGCGTCAAACCATCCTGCGGCTGGGACAGTGCCTGCGGGGGCGACAGAACATGAAAGCGGCAGAGGGACTGCTCGTGTTCCGCTGGGGGAGAGCAGGGGGGAGACGGGCCCGCGGCACAGCCACCCTGACCCCGGGACAGGGCCTGGCTGGGCAGGTAGTTTCAGCGCCACGGCAGAGAGCTCTAAGTGGGGTGGGGGGTGGGGGGTGGCAGCTCTGACAGGCTCTCACGGGTGACCTGGCCACGCACGGAGTATTACGTGGCCTTACAGAGAGGAGACTCTGACGCAACTGGGGCACCTGATGACCCTCTGCTCAGTGCCGTAAGCCAGCCACAAAGGGACAAGCACTGCATGCTCCCACTCACAGGAGGGACCAATACTTGGGAAGTCATAGACAGGAAGTAGAGGGCAGGTGCCAGGCGGGGGAGGCAGGGCAGAGGCGCTGCGTGCTAGAGACGGCCGGCGGCTGGCCGTGACACCGTCGGGCAGTTAGCCTGTGAGCTGTCAGCTAATGGTGACGGCGGCGAGCTTCGGGTGTGAAAGGGCAAGGCTCGAGGGAGTTGGGAGCGTGTGCGGGCTGCAAGCAGCAGCCACGCCGGCTGTCCTTCGCACTCTCGGCCTGGAGCGATTGCTGGACCCTGAGGGCTCTCCCCCAAGCTGGGGCTTCCCTGGGTGGCTGGGCAGGCCTGGGTTGTGTGGCCGTCCCGTCCTGGATACAGCAGATCTCCGGAGGGTGACAGGAGGTTCCCTGGGGTGAGAGGGGCTCCGTACTCACCTCTGTACTGTCTGGGAGGCCACCAGGAAGGACATGAGGTCTCCCCCTGTCAGCTGCTGTCCGGCCACAAGGGAGCCCCCAATAAACAGGGTGCCCAGGACCATGCCTGCACAGGGGAGGGGCTAGGGTGAGGCAGGAGGCAATGGAGCCAGGGAGAGGCTGGCCCAGGATGGTTTGAGTCCTGGCCCCATGCTGCCACCAGCAGACCAGGACGAGTCACTGCTGGTGTCAGACAAGCAAGCAGGGTGGGGCACCTCCTGTGTCCTCCCGGGCAGCCCTGTGGCCCTCAGAGCTGATATAGCCCACTGTGCTACCACTCGCGCCAGATCTTGGCCTCCAGGCACCTGGCATGTGAAGGCGCACGCCACACTGGGAGGGCAGTGGGCTGGAGGAGGCCCCTGGGGCCCCAGCTCTGGTCACTGCACTCACAGTTGAAGGCGACGTTGGAGAGGCCCTGGAAGAGCGCAATGCCCCGGCCCAGCTCCTCGGCCTTGCAGCGGCATTCC